TGGGGAATTCTGGGAGTTGAAGTCCACTCATATTAAAGTGGCCAAGCTTGGACAACACTGTCTTAGGGAGATGCATCGAGATGGGCTCTCCACGCTGCAAAAGATGGAGTCTGGGACTCTTTCCGCCCAGGAAAGGCTTTTTAAAAGAGACCCCGGTTGCTGCCCGAGCGGCTGGCACAATCATCTGCGCCGGTGAACGTGCTTGGCTTCGAAGCCAGAGGTGCTGCACCCCGCGTGGGCTGTATCTGGATTCCCGTGGCTCCGTGGCTTCTGCTGAATCAAGCCCCCGCCGGCCTCTGTCGGGGCCTCGCGAGGGACTTGCGCACTCGTGCCCTGCGAGGGGCATGCCAGGGCAGTGTGCCAACCCAACGTCTCTTTCCCTGTCTGAATTTAGGGGTCGGTTAGTTCCAGGGGGAGGCAGAAGGCGGCAACTCCCAGCCCAGGCCCCCCTTCTGCACCCTGCCAAGGATGAAAAGCCATTTTTCTATTCTATTCTATTCTATTCTATTCTATTCTATTCTATTCTATTCTATTCTATTCTATTCTATTCTATTCTATTCTATTCTATTCTATTCTATTCTATTCTATTCTATTCTATTCTATTCTATTCTATTCTATTCTATTCTATTCTATTCTATTCTATTCTATTCTATTCTATTCTATTCTATTCTATTCTATTCTATTCTATTCTATTCTATTCTATTCTATTCTATTCTATTCTATTCTATTCTATTCTATTCTATTCTATTCTATTCTATTCTATTCTATTCTATTCTATTCTATTCTATTCTATTCTATTCTATTCTATTCTATTCTATTCTATTCCTCCCCTGGCCAGACCCCTTCGAAAGCTCTCGGTGGGGCCACATTTGCAAAAGAGAAGCCGGTTTCACCAAAATGCCAAAAAGTTCCTTCCCGTCTAGCCTCCCCCCCCAACTCCGACACCTTTTGCTTCAACCGATAAGGAGTCAAGGCGGAAGAGGCGGCTCAGGGCAAGCGAGCCAAGCTACGTGAGGCTAGAGAAGCGAGCCGTCAGACTTAAAGGAAGTGGGCGCTTTGACATCTCTCTCTGCGTGTGCTTTGCTGGGGGTGTCACACCAGTTCTCCCCAGCTAAGGATGGCTTTAAAAAACAGGTGGTTTAAAATGTAAACTGGCTTTCTTCTTTTAAAAGGAGAAGCTGGTTTCTGCTTCCAAATCATAAGCCACCCGGCCCCACCCAGAAACATTTCCCCCTAATTCAGGCTGAGCGTTTTTCCTTAAAATTGCTGCCTTTCTCTCCTCAAAGAAGGGGGCTTGAGAGATCGAGACCCCCGAAATATGCCTCTGTGCCTACCCATCCTTTAGATTTTCCAAGAAAGGAAAGAGCGTGAACTCCAGTCATCTTAGAGAATGTTTTTAAAACTTACAAGAGCACTTTTACTCTCTTACACCTTCTTGGGGGCCTCGTTGGCCCTTCCCTGCAGGTCACATCCTGCTTCTAGTCCTCAAGAATTTCTCTAAAGGCTCTCCATGCATTTCTAAGACCCTTCTCTTCCAGTGCCCCCTTGGCAAGCCAACTGTGGATTGCAAAGGTCATTTTGTTGGAAGAAGGGGCAGTATTTATCTCCACTTGGTAGCCCCTCTGTCCACCCAGGCACCATACACAGGGTTCCCTCCCCTACTTTTTAGCCACAACAGCCCTGTGAGGTAGGTGAGGCCCAAAGCCCCCCAAGAGGCTGAGTCGGGGAGGGGGGACCCCAGCTTGGTCTTTCCAGATTGAATCCATTAAGGTGAGTCTCGACCATATGGAATAAGCGGACCCAGTTTTACCACGTACGTGACTCGGCCACGGAGGAGAAATCGGTCAAACCCAAACGCAACCCTCGCTGAGCCAATGAGCCAGAAACTCAAATTGCTTTCTCAGGCTTGCGAAGCATTTTTCAGGAGGAGGAGAGGATTTGGGGCAGACGTTGAAAAAACTTCCTCGGTTCTGCAACAGGGTCAGGCTTGGCTGGATGATGGGTTGATTTTCTCTCTCTCTTTCTCTCTGCCTTTCCTCTTTTCCCCCAATCTATCCTGCCTTAATTCCATGCATTCATTCAATGAGCAAACAGGGAATATCGGTCCTCTGTTCTTCGGAGGACAAGGGTAAGCGGCGAGGGTTCGCTCAGTCAACATCTGGACTTTTTAAAGGCTTGGCATTTAGAAATCCAACCTACGCCTCTCCAAGGCAAGCTGTGCAATATGAAAGTGGGGTGCATAATAATAATAATAATAATAATAATAATAATAATAATAATAATAATAATAGTAGTAGTAGTAGTAGTAGTAG